ATGTACCCTTATGACTGGTTTTGTGGTCCAGGGTCACATATATTAATGATACTTAATATAGTATAATATAATATTTAAAACTAAATGCAACACTTATTTTAGGATATTTTATTATAATATAATATAATATCTAAAACTAAACGCAACAGTTATTTTAGAATATTTGCCACTACTCATTCATTTAAATTAAAATGAAATTTATCTCTTATTGAATAATAATGATATGTAATTATTAATCCTATTTTTATAATATAATATAAAAATATAATTATACTATGTAAAAAATATATTTGGCACTGCTCATTCATTTAAATTGAAATTAAATATATATTTTTTTTAATTGAATACTAATTGTGTAATAAAAATATTGTGTAATAAAATATAATTATTATAAATTATATTTTAATATCATAAAATGTAATAAATTATTAATAATTTAACAATTAAATATTAATGATAATATAATATAATTTTAGAATATTTGGCACTTCTTATTTATTCAAGTAGGTAAGAAACCATTTCAAATTGCAGTGTAACCACTGTTTACTACGCAAAGTGACAAAATGTGAACGATAATGAGTCTTAACCTTTTTCTGGGCTCCACGGGTAGCGGAACACCAGACACGGATTCTTTCGGGCCTAATCCGATGCCTAGCATGGAGGCGATCTTTCCTGAGTTTGCACCTGCTGCATTTACCACGACGGCACACTCCACGGGCTGATACTCCAGACTGTTGGGCATCCGCACCTAAAACCACATAACCTTCTGTTATGCTACTAGTGCACTTAAACTTTAAAGCACCTAAATAAGGCAAACAAGTTTCAAAACAGTGTGCTGTTCTGAGAAGGCATATGAACTTACATTAACATATTTTATCCTTTGGACATTAAGAACCTCTCCATCTGTGGTTTCTGCCAAATTTGCAGCACATTTAAATCCTAAAAATTCAAGAGAATCAACTTGAGTTCTGTTTTGAAAGTAACAATGTAACGTTAAAAAAAAAGCCAGTTAAAAAAGTACCAAATGTAGGACAACATGCACTAATTTGGTGTTAATTTGACAAACTTTAACATATTGTAGTTGGGAATCCTGACCTGTGACCTCTCCAAAGCACTGATAGACTCCCATAGACACGGCCTTACGTCTGAGAGCGTTCAGGAGAGACCAGGGGTCAAACCAGCCCTCGTTCTCTAGTCCTTAGTGAGGAATAAATATGTCACTCAGCAA